AGAAACAATGCTATAGACGCTTGTACCATGACAGGAGTGTGGACAACATAGAGAAGTACAAGGTGGCAAAGAAGACTGCAAAGCGAGCTGTAAGTGTGGCAAAGGGTAGAGCGTACGAGGATCTTTACCAACATTTGAGTACGAAGGAAGGAGAGAAGGACATTTATAGGATGGTTAGGGTTCGTGAGAGAAAGACAAGGGACTTCAACCAAGTTAAGTGCATTAAGGATGAAAGGGAGCATCTCTTGGTGAAGGAGGATGAGATCCGACATCGATGTCAAGAGTATTTTGATAAATTGTTCAATGGTGAGAATATGGACATAACCTTTCAGTTTATTCGACTCCTTTGATGACACCAATAGGCGCTTTGTGCGGAGAATCCAAGAATATGAGGTTAGAGAGGCGTTGAAAAGGATGAAAGGAGGTAAGGCGATGGGATCGGATGGTATCCCAATCGAGGTGTGAAGATGCTTCGGGGACATAGCTATAGTATGGCTAACCAAGCTGTTCAACTATATTTTTCGATCGAATAAGATGCCTGATGAGTGGAGGAGAAGTATATTGGTACCGATCTATAAGAATAAAGGGGATATTCAAAGTTGTACTAATTACCGGGGAATTAAGTTGATGAGTCATACTATGAAGCTATGTGAGAGAGTTATCGAGCATCGCTTGAGAGCAATAACGCGGGTCTCTATGAACCAATTTGGTTTCATGCCTGGAAGGTCAACCATGGAAGTCATTTTCTTAATAAGACAAGTTATGGAGCGGTATAGGGAGAAGAAGAAGGTCCTACATATAGTTTTTATTGACTTAGAGAAGGCTTATGATAAAATACTAAGGAATGTTATATGGTGGGCTTTGGACAAACATAAAATCCCAACGAAGTACGTCGGGCTCATTAAGGACATGTACAACAATGTTGTGGCTAGAGTTCGAACAAGTGATAGAGATACGGATGACTTTTCGATTAGGATAGGACTACATCAAGGGTCAGCTTTGAGCCCTTATTTGTTTGCCTTAGTGATGGATGAGGTCACAAAGGACATACAAGAGGACATCCCTTAGTGTATGCTCTTCGCGGACGATGTAGTGTTAGTTGATGAAAGCCGGACATGAGTGAATCAGAAACTGGAGTTACGACGGGAGACTTTGGAGTCCAAAGGTTTTAGACTTGGTAGAACTAAAACCAAGTATATGAGATGTGACTTCGGCACTACTACTCGGGAGGAGGGAGATATTAGTTTGGAAGGTCAAGTAGTGCCTAGAAATGATACCTTTCGATATTTAGGATCAATGCTACAGAGAGACGGGGATATTGATGAAGATGTTAGCTATATAATCAAAGCAGAGTGGATGAAGTGGCGGCAAGCATCTGGTGTCCTATGTGACAAAAGGGCACCACAGGAGCTAAAAGATAAGTTTTATAGGACGGCGATTAGACCTGTTATGTTGTATAGTGTAGAATGTTGGTCTACGAAAAGACGACATGTTCAACAGATAAGTGTCGCGGAAATGTGTATGTTGCGTTGGATTTGCGGTCATACAAGAAGGGATCGAGTTCGGAACGATGATATACGTGATAGATTAGGGGTAGCACCAATTGAAGAAAAGCTTGTCCAAACACTGGTTGAGATGGTTTGGACATGTCCAACGGAGACCTCCAGAGATACCGGTGCGTAGTGGAATCCTAAGCTAGGATAGTAACGTGAAGAGTGGCAGAGGAAGATCAAAATTGATTTGGGTAGAGACAATAAAAGGAGACTTGAAAGGATGGAATATACCCAAAGACTTAGTCTTAGATAGAAGTGCTTGGAAGACAACTATTTATGTGCTGGGTTTTAACTCTAGCCTATCTCAATTTATTTGGGACTTAAAGGCTTTGTTGTTGTCGTCGTTGTCGTCAGTTAGGCACTTGCGTCTTTTAATCGAATCTCAATTTTTTTGCAAATAAACCGGGGATGGGGGTGGGGCTGTGGGTTTCTAATGAACATAGACACTATACTTTGCTTTTTCAGAATATATAATTGCCTATTTAGAAAGACATTGTTACCAAACGATTGACAAACTTAAATTGCCTAAGAAAATGCAATTCACTACAAAATTTACCAGCAGCAACCTGCTCATCACCGATATAGGCTCCAGGATCAATAATGTCTTCTCAAGTAGGCAACATATTTATCTTCATCCAGCCACAAAATTATGACACATGTTATCCTTTTTTGACATGTAGGATGCAGGCCATATACTGAGAAGCAAGATGTAGGCCATGCATGTGTACTTTTTCCTAGGGACTAGATGTATAGTGTTGTGATCTAGAAAATTGCAGATACAAAATGTGTTTTTTTTTATAAATAGATTGTCCTTTTTGTGAACATATACATGTAGTACATTAAAGCGTATGTCTGGGGCTGATTTGCCTTTTTTTCCCCCAAAACTGTGGTCGTATCTGGGTCTGGGCCGTGCAAGCCGCGAGGGCAGGAAATTTTTTCCTTCAGGCATGCCAACAAGCCAGCGTTAATTAGCATCTTGCCAAAAAAAGGTGTCTAATAATTATACTTTTACTAAAAACGGTAGGGCCGTGCAAAAGCACTATATTACGGCCGGCCGTGCATTAGCCACTTGCATATAAATAATCACCTCATTGGACTCACGCAGATGGATCACTTCATTGGGATCCATATTGAAAGTCCATGCCCTTTCGTAGTCTCCTGTTGGGCCTTGATTAACCTGCAGATCCCTCCCCTTGCTAAAGCTTTTGGGATTCTCTAAAGCCTCAGAAGCCAACTCGCATTGCCATTCTTCGGGGAAATATAATTTTGATCTTCTCGAAATGACCAAATCTTTAGAGGTGTTCAGCCAACAACTCAGCACTGCCAACGCTGGTTCAAAAAGGAATTTGCTATGGTTACTCTTAGAGCAAATTAAGTCACACTGCTATAGTTGAATGGTTTGACGATCATGTGTAATCCTGTTAATCTTTTTTATTTCTTTTTTTTTTTGTTTCATGAACAGCCTGATGTAAACTTGAGCTCTTAGTTTTAATATTTGGAGTAGGGGAAACCCCTCCTCTTCCCATGAAAAATAGGATGCGGCAGCCACAACTTTTCCGTTTTTTTAATAATAAAGACACTCAATTTGACAAAAATAACTTCTAGAAACTAAAAGTACATTAATGAGCAATCTAATAATCTTCTTCCTTTATTCGTGCGATACGTACCTGATGGAGCTTGAAAACGCTTTGATAGGGAAAACTACCCTTGGCATACAAGGCTTTGAAAATCGCAAAAGCTACATGCCGCAGGAATCAATATCTAGTATTCACCGAAAAACATCGACCAGGAAAACTCCTAAATTAATAATGTAGACTTGCATAATCCGTCACCACCCGAACAATGTGTAGGAGAAATTAGTCCTTGCCATTGAATAGATGAAAGAAGAGGTCAAAATCGTTGCACCGATGCCAATCTTCGGCTTCCACTTCACCTCCACCTCGTCGTAATCGCTCAAGGGGATCACCATCAGCTTCGGCATCTACTTCATCTTAGCCTCACCATCACCTTCAGTTTGAGGGACTCGCCATCAGCACCCGTGTCGACTATAACTCTGCCTTGCTATTGCCTTTGGCACTGGAGGGGATCTCCATTAGCTTTGGCGTCAACTTCACCTATATTTCGTTGTCACCTTCAGCTCAAGAATCTCACCATCACCTACTGACATGTCTAGAACCTCATCTTACCCATGAGACTGTCTTCCATTCACAAGCACTAGACAAGAGGGGCTAAGGAGGTTTGCACTGGAGAGCCAATCTTACATGGTGGACATGTCTTGCTCGACACTTGTGAGCGAAGGAGGCAAGCTCCATCAACTATGATAGCTACTTCACTTACGTTCACTGTGATAACCGCGTTGCCTACAACCTTGTTCGACAGCCACTTCGACTCACCCCACCTGCCTGCACCAGCTTGAGGGCCTTGGACAATATTTGACTACGTTTGTTAGCTCGACTGCTTCGGCCACGATTATTGAGTCGACTAGTTACACTACTACGACTATGGAGGGATGATCTCATAAGTGTGAAGACCTCAATGCGATCAAGAAAATCCAAAGTAAAGGTCCGAACAACTTGAAGGTGAAGCTCAGAAGAATCCTATATGAGAGATTTGAGAGTACAAGGCGATCAAGACTATGTAGCAAAGCGATCCAGGAGAACGGGTGGAATTCACCTTTGTTAGTGATAAGCTTAAGTCCTCAAAGCAAACCCTTCGACCTTTGCCATCGAAGTTATGCCTGCACCCAAGATAGTTATGGCATCCACACATAGCCTTTGTATAGTTAGCTTCATGCCATATATGTTCTCCCTTTTTCCATGCTCTTTTTTCTCACCGGGTTTTTGGGATGGAGTTTTTAACAAGACGTATACACCAAAACGATCATGAGGAAGATCCTCACGAGCAAAGAGTTGTATCTTTACGCCTTTTTCTCTATGTTTTAGCGACTAAGTTTTGTTGTACCAGCTATGATCTAACAGCTAAGGGGCTACTATTGGAGGTCAAGCTATGGCAAGTTATATCCTGCTCTGGTAAAAAGTTGCAAGTTATAAAGGCTAAGGACGTATTTGTAATTTGTAAACTAATAAGAGTTGGGAGGAAGATTGTATCATGCCATCTCCTCTATAAATACAATAGGGCAAATGCAACCTCTCACAAAAATCCCTATTCTCCTCTCTCTCCTTAGGTCTAAGTGTTTCACCTCAACTTTTCATGGAATTATAGCAAAGACCTAGAACACAATTATGGGCAAACTAGCTGCCATTGCTTTCCTTTGAATTAGCACCCAATGTAGCAGAAAACACTACCAAGTTTTTTAGCAGCACCCAAAAAAATCGAGGCCATTTTGTTCTTGGGTGCGCAATCCAAAGTTCACCGGTGACATTGCCGGTGATCCACGACACGAACATATATATAGCATGACCGCCTCAATAATGATCCATGCATCTATCAGACTTGTTCACCTGCTAAAGCGGACGAAGTTGCTTCCTCCAGCCCGTACTTGTTTGGTTTCTTGTGCTCCTCGTCATCTACATCTAGTGTGCAATCGGCCGTCATGTTCACCTCACTACTGGACGCCGCAACCTTACTCTCCTTGTTTTTACCCCACAGCACGCTGTAAAGGCCTCCAACTAGCAGGATTCCACCAACAACGCTACGCTCATCAGCAAAAAGAGATTAGCTGGCCCAATAATATAAATTCATCCAAATTACATACAGTCAACATAATTAAACTCTTCATTAATAGTTTACAAAGTTTGCTTCAGTTACCTGCCGAGGCGAACGATTTCTCCCAAGAAGAAGGACGAACTGAATATTGTGAGGACAAAGCATAGAGGTGTCCAGACAGCAAAGAAGACGGGGCCTTTGATCACCACGCACCATGCTTGAAGGTAGTAGGTGACTCCTGTCACCACGAACCCCTGGTAATATAAATAAATTTGTTGATACCCCATATATATATTGGAGTTGAAATAAATGCGTGCCCGTAATAAGGTAGCGATTATAATTACAGCATAGACGACGGAGAGCAGGCTGGCGTCGAGATGGAGTCGCCACCTGGACAGGTCCCTCTCGGCCGCCACTGCGACGACGAACGATTGCACGGCGCTGAACACGCAGAGCGCCGTGGCCACCAGCATCCTGTTGGGCACCTCCTCCAGCAGCGCAGCCTGCAGCGACGGAAAACGTTGCAGTTTGTAGCTACGTACTCCTAGTGCATACTACATAGTACGCAGTTCTGAACATCTGAAATTCATGCATGCATATCAGCATATGCATTGACGACAGTGAAAGGCCTCGACCTGCCAGACGATGGACAGGGACCATGCCACGTTGGCGAGGACCATGAGAAACGTCCCTTCGATCCATCTACTGTTTGATGACGAGGTATTCACACTGCCGGCGGAGGCCGAAGCGTTGGCGGTGAAGGCGCGGTGATGGTTGACAGGGCTAAGCGCTGGGCCGGAGTAGAAGGCAATGACGAAGACGCCGGCAAGGCAGAGGGCCACACCGGTGAGCTTAGCTATGCCGGAGGCGCTCCTCGGCTTCACCACCTCCATCCTGCCATGCATGCAAATATAATAAAGCCTTTGGCAATGCCAACATATATGCTATATATTCATGTCAAGTGAAATGAGTTAGCTAGCTGTTCAATCATCGCTTGGTAGATAGTACGTGTACTTTTGTACGACCTGAGTAGCAGCGCCAAGCAGAAGGTGAAGACAGGCATGGAGTTGCCTGCTGCTGCAGCCACGGTTGCAGATGTGAACTTGAGGCTTACATTGTACAGGCTCAAGCTCAGTGTGTTACTGGAAATATGTGAAGAGTACGTGCAGAAAAAAATAGTTATGCATATATGGAAGCCTTACGTTAATTTGCTTCTAGTTTGAACGAATGAAACAGAGACTGTATGGAACTAATTAATCAGCAACACATGTAAATGCATATGTCGAGATGCCTGCTAACAGGTCGACAAAACACAGCTAGCTCCAAGGCAATTGAATATACTATACATACGGTGATCTTGAGGTACATGTACACATACCCCACTAAGGCACACAGGAAGAGCTTCAGCAGCCACCCAAACGGCATTGAACGTGCATTCTTCCTGAGGATTGGAGATGAGAACCAACAGATTAACTTAGTACATATCTAGCTATAGGGGTTCGTTGTGGTTGTAATAAAATAGGAGCTTGTGGTCTCTTCACCTTTGGAGAATGAGGGCAAGAGGCAGCATGAGGATGGAGCCGGCCGCCTGGCGGTAGAAGACGAAGATGAAGGTGCTCAGCCCTGCGTCGAATGCCGCCTTGGATATCACCGACATCCCCGCCAGGATTATCTGCACGACGATGGCGATGATGTACGCCTTCTTTGTTGCTGCATCATCCATGCTGGACGCGCGTAATGTATGGCTGATGATGAATGGTTAATATAAGGTTGATCCATCAACGTATGTTGTCCGTCCTTTTCTTGGGTGGGATGCAATTATGACTTGTGGGCGACCATGAGAACTTTCCCGGCGGAGCTATTGCTAGCACCTTAATTTATCAGAGATCGATTCACTAGTACTGGTAATAGACTAATAGTGGCACAATGAAGCAATGTGATCCGTCAAGATATGGAATATATGGAGTGTGACTAGATCAGCATGAACTCAACATATATAAATAGTTTCTTTCTCCAACTAGTCGCAGCAGAAAGTTAAATAATGTCACCTCTATTTACAACCGTGTGTTTCAACTAAAGCTAGCACATAGTTGTTGGCTGTCTAAAACACACACGAATTCCAACATATAAAAAACCATGTGTTTTAGGAGAAGCTGGCACATGGTTGTTGGCTGCCTAAAAAACACACAAATTACAAAAGGGAAAAAAAACTATGTGTTTTAGAAGAAGCTAGCACACAAATTCCATCAGACAAAAAGGCCCACGCAGACCAGATCTATTGCTGTTTGTTAGATGTAAGTTCTGTTTGTTACAATGGCAGAGATGCACAGTAGGAACACCAATTATGATGCAAAAATACTTACAAAAGTAACCAGATTCACGAGGTTCATAGGTTCAGGAGATATACAGTGAACACTGACCTAACAGAAGGCGAAGAAGAATTTATCTACATATGTGTAAAATTCAGCAAAGATGGGATACTCTGCTCTCATATCCTAAAAATAGTCAGTATGCCATTTGTGTGGATGCCAGGGTGTTGTGTGCTAGCACAAATCATAATAAAAATATATGGACACGGTGGGCTGTTGCTCAAACATACAAAAAATCACAACTGAACACTAAGTTTTTTTCGAGCCTATGCTTGGTATACTTACACATACGATAGCGAATGCACCACCTCCTGCCTGTCATCAGGGTTAAAGCCTATGTTATCATGCAGGATGTGATAGGCCATCAGGGTTGTTGTGGTTGGCCTTGAAGTCACCTGGCAAAAAAAAAACATGCACTTAGATCACCAAATCAATTAGAATGGCTGTAAATATTTATACAAGAGGAGACAGACTTGCCTTTTTTCCATGACATACATGGATGCAACTGACGTCATTCAGTAGCTCCTACGCCACATCCCCTTTCTACTGGGCATGGGTACTACATTGCTTGACCAAGCTGACAAAGAATAGAACTAGAAATTTAACAGAACATTCAGAGAAGTCTGCTAGCACCTCAAAAACCATTTACAGAGGCTTAACTGATCTGCAAGTCGATAATGCTAAAACACAGAGATGTAGTATAAACACAGAGATGCTAAAACACAGAATTGTGCCTGACACAGGCACATTTCGCTGGAGGCATAATAAATCTAAGAAATGATTTCCTAGAGTGGAACAAAGGCACTGGCGACTAAAATATTATGAGTTCAGGAAAACAAATAGCAAGTTATCTTAAGTCAGGATAAGCTAAGCATAAAAACAGCTACTCACATATCACAAAAAACAGATTTCAACATGTTTTAGCATAGATCACAAGAGACATTTTTTTCTATAAACGGACAAGGACAAAAACTTGGTGTATGTTGGCACAAATCACAAAAAATAGATTTCAACATGTCTTAGTACAGATCACAAGAGACAATTTTGTGTATGTTGGCACAAATGAAAAAACATAGCACCACTGACTGATTACTACTTTGTGGAAACAACCAATACAGATTCCACTGTATACAACATTGTGAGTTTTATCATATACCTTGGCAAAGACCAGTCTTTCTTTGGGAATGATGTTAAAGTGGCATTTCGCCACTTACCTCTCCATTCCTTGGCTGAAAGACAAGCATCATGCTGTCATTTCTGCAACAGATGTACGATTTGTTGTCCATATTGACAAACAACACTCTTGCACTCCTGGCTGAATACACTAGCAGTACCAATCTTTTCATTGATTTCAGTATTTGTGCCCTGCATTGATCAATGAGATGTGGTCTAAAAGGGTAGAACCATAGAGAGCAAAACGGAATTATATAGCCACACCACTCAGCAATTCTCAACTAAAATTATAAATATATCTGTTATGCATTTGCTATATTCCTATTGTAAATAAATTATAGAACAAAGACAAACTTGGCACAAATCAGAATTAACAAAGTTCATGAAGTGTTAGCACAAATCATAAGAGACATTTTTTTTCTATGAAAGAACAAGGAGAAAAACTTGGCTTAGTTAAGCACAAATCACAATAAACAAAGAAAAAGTTGTGTTAGCACAAATCACAAGAAATAATTTTTTTCTATAAAAGGATAAGGACAAAAATTTGGTGAGGGATTGCACAGATCACAATGAACAGACTACAACATTTTCTATAGAAACACAAAGACAAATTTGTCGACACAAATCACAAAAAATAATTTTTTTCTATGAAAGGACAATGATAAAAATGTGGTGTGTGCTGGCACAAATCACAGTTAACATATTACAATTTTTTCTATAGAAAGACAAAGACAAAAATGTGGTCTGTGTTGGCACAAATCACAGTTAACATACTACAATTTTTATCTATAGAAGGACAAAGACAAATAACTGAAATGTGTTGGCACAAATGATAATTAACATATTACAATTTTTTTCTATAGGAAGACAAGGACAAAAATATGGTACGTGTTGGGACATATTGCGTATCCTCAGAACTAAAATTGCGGTGCTCAATGCTTGCAATTTGCATCATCGCTGATTGCAATTAATTAACTATATGTTTTATATGTTTTGTTTTTATGAACATGAAAGATTAATAGGAATAGAGCACCACAACTACTATGGAGAAGAACAACAAACAAAAAAATTCAGTAGTATTACTGTAGATGCATCTTATTTCTGTAGTACTGCACCAAGACAACTTGAAAGTAGCTAGAGCATATTTTGAAAGCTGTGAGGTTTTCTTAACTCAAAATTCAATATTCTGTATGTGAGAAAATTCTCTGTTAATAGTTTTCAAATAACAAAAACTACTCTTTTTCGGTCAGTGTCATGAGCCGATGAAGTGGAACATTTTCTTCTTTAGACAGATAGATTAGGTTCGAGTATAAACCATAACAATACGATGACACGACTTTAATTTATAGATATAGAAAAATGGTTAGCAAAATGTATGGCTGATGATGAATGGTTAATATAACTCTCTCTTCTTTCTGTCCAGAATGATATGAGAGAGAGAGAGAGAGAGAGAGAGAGAGAGAGAGAGAGAGAGAGAGAGAGAGAGAGAGAGAGAGGCCAGGGGTTGATCCATCAACGTATGTTGTCCGTCCTTTTCTTGGGTGGGATGCAATTATGACTTGTGGGCGACCATGAAAGCTTTCCCGGCGGAGCTGTTGCTAGCACCTTAATTTATCAGAGATCGATTCACTAGTACTGGTAATAGACTAATAGCGGCACAATGAAGCAATATGATCCGTCAAGATATGGAATATATGGAGTGTGACTAGATCAGCATGAACTCAACATATATAAATAGTTTCTTTCTCCAACTAGTCGCAGCAGAAAGTTAAATAATGTCACCTCTATTTAATTATATACTGACCGCGCACTTGTTAATCTCTATATTTATACTTATATATCTTATTATAAAAGCAAAGCATACTAGCGCTTTTCAATCTTCACATGCAAGCTATTCACGTGTCTGAAAATACATCACTTTAGTAGAGAACAACCCTCTACGTGTGGCGTACAAGCTTCTGGACTGAGTCCCTCCAACTACAACAACGGCATGCACTTCACTAACTACAACAGTGTCATGCACTTCACTAACAGACCCAGTCCGGATAAGGATTACGTCATGAAGATATTTCTAACAGTCCCCCTCAATCACAACTTCCCAAGTTGAGATTGTGTCAAAATTCTTGAAGACGCCGGAGAGTGGCTTTGGAAATCCATCTGCAATCTGATCACACGTAGGTATAAACTTGATATCTAATAGATGTTGTGATACCCTTTCTCGTAAATAAGTTATGGCTCTCGCTCCGTCTCCCACCCCTCCCGCTCCCCCGACGGCGACGAGCCACCACCACAGCGAATCGAGCTTCCTACACCAGATCCCGTCAATCAGCCACTAGATCCGCGTCCGCTGGCATCAGATCCACTACCTAGCGGCCAATCCCAAGCTCCTTCCCTACCGAGTGAGGCACCCAAGCTTCCAAACCAGAGTGCCACTAACCCAGATCCCCGTTGCTGCCAGAGCATTCATCTCTTCGATTCCGCGGTAGATGGGGAAATCGACTACTCGTAGAAGCAGGATTCGCTGCCAAGGATCCAAATCCTTATAGACCTGGCCCAAGATATCCAGACGCTGCTGCAGACTAACAAGGAAGACATGAAGACGAAGGAGGGGGAGCAGAAATCACCTCGGCACAAGGAACCTCACAGAAAGCGAACAGAGTCGGAGCTGAGTTCTGGCTCGAGTAATAGCGACGCGGAGATCCACGCAACCCACTGTGAAGCTCAGCGCCGAAGCAGCCCAAGCCATCAAGAGCGCTCGGTCAAAAGCATTCTGAAGGCTACTCGTCCAGCTGCAGCACCACAAGCTTCCAAGCCTATGACGGTGCAAGCTTGGCAAAATCAAAAGCGGCAGACGAGCTACTCGGAGCAAGCTTGGCAAAATCAGAAGCGGCAGACAAGCTACTCAGAGCAGGAGAAGGCAAAAGGGGTACTAGAAGCCTTGGATTCGTCCCCGCAAGCTTCCCCGGTGCCACCCTCTTTCCACCAGCCTTCAACGCACCACACCAGAGATCCAAGCGGGGAAACCGAAGAAACTTCAAAGCAAGCTCAGAACTTTTTAGGCAGGGGAAGATGGGCGGAGGTGAAACCCCCCTACTGGTGGCACAAAGAACAGCAACAGTCAAGAACATCGATCAAACCAAGCCGTCGGATAGACCCTGGTAGGGGAAAGGAGTTATTTCAA